GAAATCATGAGGGATTCCAATTCCCTTTGAAAACTTGAACCAAACATGGGAAATTGGTGGAATTGGATTCCAATTCCACCTAATTCGAGGGATTCCTACGAACCAAACGCCACCTAAGGGTTTGTTTGATAGGATGCCATTGGTTTTATGAAAATAGATTATTTAAAAATTATTTTATGTAAAATGAATTATCTAAAATTATTTTATATAAAATAAATTATATTTTTTGAAAAATATTTTTCGAAAATTATTTTACGGTGTTTTGATGGTATTATGTAAATTATTTTCACTAATTGTTTGTTATACTACAATTAATTTTATAGAAAATGATTAGCTAATTTACATAAATTGAATAATATTCGGTTCAGTTAATATTTTAAAAAAATTAGTTCGATTAACGATTAAAGAAAAAAAGTTTAGCTAATTCGGTTAATGATAATTCGGTTCGATTGGTGACCGAATTAACCGTTTGAACATCCCTAATTTTAATTATTAGTATTTTATTAACATAATACTAAATTATTATATTAATATTAAATATATAAATTAATATTATTCATTATTAATAATTTAATAATATTATATTTATAAAAATAATAGATAATGTTAAATATATTAATAATTTATTATACATTATTAAATTAAAAAATAATATAATATATTATTATAATATAACGGAGTACATATTAATATAATATTATTAAAATTATATTATATATTTATATTAAATATTTTAATAATTAATATTTTCACATTAAAATATTATATTAATATTAAATAAATAAAATAATATTTTTTGAATGTTTATACCTTGAAGTACAAAGTTAGGAAAATGTTTTACCGAAAAACAGATGGTAAAACATTTTACATAAAATATAAAGGAACTAGGAAAACTAACTACATTAGAAAAATCAATTACAACTATCAAACACAGGAAAACGTTTTCCGAAAAAAAAAATTCTAACTGTGAAACACAAGAAAATGAGGAAAACATTTTCCGAAAAAATATTTTTCGACTATCAAACACACCCTAAATTTATTTCTTCCTACAATCATAAAATTTATTTATTTCAATATAAAATAATGTGTCCATTACTGCTAATATATATAACACTATAACAGACTCGTAACATGTAACAGCCAATGGCTGCCTCTGTGATTGATATATATCATTACATATTACTAAGACTATTAGAATTGCCATGTTCAAATGGCTCGTTTCATTTTGATTATCTGCCGTTAAAAAATTAACAGAATTATTGAGGTGGTATTTTTATAAAAAAAATTCAATGTTGACGTAATGTTATCTTATGATGGCATCATCATCGGTATTAATTTTTTAACGGTGGGTGACCAAAATAAAACCAAAACGTAATGTTAAATATGATTTGTGACTAAAACGAAATAAAAATGATAGTTGTGATACTAAATGTATAGTTTACCCTAAAAAATTTAAAAACTCAAACCTAAATAAAATAAGGTTCATTTTGTCTTAATAGATAAACCCAAGGCCAATTCATCTCTGAATTCAATGAACCCAAACTTGGCCATAGATGGGCTCATGTCATTTGAGAACAGAACATGGGCTGTTGTTGCCATAGACATGAAATGTCAAATCCAAGTGAAGCTTGACCGATTGAGAAGTGTTGCCAATAATATCTTACTTAGTGGGGGAGGTGAGTAATGAAGTAGCCATATAAATATACGAAAGTGACCATTTTCTAGTTTTCTTTTTTGTCTTTCTATTTAATACATTTGCTTCTGCATTGGATTATCTTTGCTAATTTTATAAGCTAAGTTTCCACTATGAGCAACTTTACCCTATATATCCTACAAAGGGTCGAACCATCCACTAGAAGCATCATATTTCATTTTAAGTGAATCCCATGAAAATGATACGTATAATATAAGAATATGACTTAATTTGATTCAAGTTAAGCCAACGTTAATTTCAAGCTTCAAGCCAATTTGAGGATGACTTAATTTAATCGAAAAGCATTCATATGGTACGAATAGACGAACACACTTATAATTTACATGTATACAATGGTTCACCACTTGATTTCCGCATACATAGATGTCCATATGAACATGCAAAAAGAACAATATTCTGCTCCTCATCCTTCCATCTTTGGATTGTTGGTGAAAGGGCAACTTCAACTAACAATATTTTTCTCTTCATTTAATTTTTTTTATTAGATTTAAAGTCGTCTCGACTAATCAAGACAATGTTTATTTGATATTCTATTGATATGCACTATTTTGGACATTCTAATTGAATTTGGATATGTGGTTTGTGTTCGGAGATAGTTTCTCACGACGCTCGACTTCGATTTATGATTGTCGATGATCTTTTAGTAGTTTAATCTCATATTGTGTTTCACTTACTGATTCAATCAGTCTATTCACATATATATTATATTCAAGTTTTGGTTGATTTTTAACTTTTTTTCTTATATAATGATCCAATGCATTATTTGGGGTTTCCTCTTGTCTCTAGAAGTCTTTCTTACTCTGGTTGTGAGGGTCTAATAGGGAAGACTGTTAGAAGAATTTGCAGCTGGCAATCGAAGTGTCTTTCCTTTGTAAGGAGGCTTCAACTTATTCAAGCTATTGTGTCTAGCATCCAAAACGTTTGGAGTAGATTGTTCTTATTGCCTTCTAGGGTTCTGAAACGAATTGAGTAATTGTGTAGTGCGTTTCTTTAGAAAGGCTCGGATGGTTCGACCAAGGGTGCCAGTATTAGTTGGGAACATATTTGTTTTCCCAAATGCGAAGGACGGGCTTGGGATTAAAAATATGTTTGCTTGAAATAGGGCATGTATGATGAAGTGCTTGAGGCTCCTTCTCACACAGTCGAGTTTCTTTAGGTGGCCTGGGTTAAGGAATATGTTTTGAAGGGGTGTTCACTTTGGTAGGCCCATAATCATAGTTGGACATGGAAGAAAATTTTGGGTTTAAGGGATGACTATGCTCTTGTGGGTGGTTTGGATGGGAGCTTTCATACAAAGAAGGTTTGGGAAGTGATTTGGTGCAAGCAAGATAAGGTGCCTTGGTGTAGGATTATCTGGGTGATCTATTCATCCCCAGACACTCGTTCATTTCATGGTTGACTCTTTTTGATCGCTTGCGAACAAAGGTTCGCATGCTCCGTTGAGGGGTCATATTGATCTCTCTTGCATTCTTTGTGGTTATGGTTTTGAAAGTAGGGACCATTTGTTTGCTGAATGTAATTTTGCTAGGTAGGTCTGGTCTAGTATTTTTCAAGCCTGTCATGTTAGTTGGTTTGGGGTTTCTTAGAGTGATATGGTGATTTGGGTTGTAGCGCATAGTAAAGGAAAAACCTTATTGGAGACCATCATTCGGGTTGCTTGGTGTTGTTATATTTACCATATTTAGCAGGAGAGGAACAGTAGATTGCATGGAGTTAGTCCTAGAGGAATTGAGGTATGGTTTCACTGATAAAGAGTATTGTTACATTGAGGTTAAAGGGGTGTATTCAAAGCAAGTTTTCAGTGCTTGTTGTTGAATATGATCTATTATACGATTTGTTTTTTTTTCTTTCCATTGTTTATTATGGTGTTTATAGGTGACTTGTACAGGGTGATTCTTTGCTGGATGATGTATTTTGTAATTTGACTTGTACAACGAGATTCTTTTTAGATGAATAAAATTCAACATTTATCTAAAAAATGAAAATTTTAGAAAAAATAGATAATTTGTAATTTTTGTTGTAATGTTGCATGGTTACGGGGATGATGATGGCATGGTGACGAGATTCCATTGCTATGACCATGAAACTATATAGTGGGGGTGAGACATAGAGAGGGGTGAACCCCTCCACGCACTTTCACTAATGGGAACAATACATATTGCGCAAGCTAATAATAAGTCGCTCCCTCCCCCCAAGCGGTACTCCCATTCCTGATAGGTAGAAAAAGATTACATCATGATCTTTATTATTACCAAGAAAAAGGTCAATATGTTTATGAAACCGAAGTAGTTGTTTTAGTAGTTAAGGTCAGGACATTTTTTTAAATAATTTGAGTTGGAATAATATTATTTATAAAGTATGTATAAATTAATTAAACAGAAAATCATATTAGTATATTAAAAAGAAAATACTAACATAAGACCATATTAAAATGTCAAAAAAAAGTCAAGAAATTTACTATCGAATTACTATCAAGTGATACCGACAATGAAAAAATTCTATTATTAATATATACATGTTCATCCTAAAAAATATTTTTAGATCCATCGGCGTTAAAAATTGTTTCGGTTCTCGAGTCATGGGGAAACACAATCATGCATGCCAAAGTTTCCTCATTAAAATAACATGCCCTTATGTTTTGACAGGTAATCTCATTATGCGTTTCCACTCCTCTGCAGCCATTGGCACGCAAGTTCTTGAACTTGTCCTCTTGCTGTCAAGAATATACCATTATCAGATTACTGACATCAGGCTCCTGCAAAATGACTATGGAGAATAACTTGTTTATTAAATCAATTCAGGATTACGATCCGCACCAACCAAAAGCACGAGAGTCGTCGGATCTTTGGAACAAATTTTGGGGACAAAGGGACGACGTGATGGGGTTTTGTTGTTGTCTGTTTTAAAACATTCTAATTGTAGTTTAAGATAGACATTCCCCATGGCCTCTCCCATTAGGGCTTAAAAAGGACCTTTTTGTGATATTTTAAAAAGAAAGCGCCTTTAGTGTCATTTTCGTCCTTGGAAAATGCCCTAAAGGTGTTTTCCCAGGGGACCCTATGGGTACATATTTTAAGAGCAGGTGGAACAGATATTTCGTCTTAATAAAGTCAAAAAACTATGATGGTTCGACCTCCCTAAGAATATATATACATATACGGTCATTATTTAATCAATCTTCTCTGCAACTATTTCATCTCCCCACATGCTTCCAAACCAGGAGAATTTTAATCTGATACATGGAAATTACCACAAATTCCTCTCGTTATAGTCTAAACTTGCGGATATGATCATGGTTCCTGCTGGAAACCTGTCTAAACGAAACCATCTTCCTTGCCACGGCAGCGGCGGCGGCCTCGATATTTACGGTTGTAGAGGTGGCGGTTGTGCAGAGAATTTGGGTCTTATGAGGTGTGAATATCGGACTGAAGCTTGTTTAGGATCTGATCTAGGAGCTAATCACATGGCCGACGATGCATCGAGAACTAATAGTCTTAATGAGGTAGGCTCCAGCTCCAAGGATTACAATCATCAAGAAGAAGAGGAGGGAGATGAAGGTTGGCTCCAACTAAGTATAGGTGGTCATCAAGCAACAAGAAACCATCATAGCAAGCATGACCACGGCGGTGGGTTGACCGGACTCGATCTATTACCCGGTGGTGGCTCGCATCGAGAAAGCCGCATATGCCGGAATTTCGATCTCCTATACATCCACTGGTCATGCAAGGTTTCGCCACTTCATTATTCCTTCTACAACCAGGAAGCAGCTCCAATACATTTAGGCCTATAGGAGCAGCCGGTTCCTCCTCGTCATCGGTGCCGTCGGGCTCCTATTTTACCCGACCGTTCCGATTGCAACCCGGCATCGATGTCGCTGGGCCTAGCTCCGATGTTAGAATCATTGATCCTCCTAGAAGACCCCATTCTGGCATTTGGTTTATGTTACAAGCATCAGAAAATCAGTAAGACAAGAAATGGACTTCATTTAAAATAAATTAGAGTTTACTTCTGAACAAAATTAACTTCTTTTTTCAAACATTTCAGAGCAAAAGAACCGTTCTTGCCTCAAATACCAAAGAGCTACCTGAGAATCAAGTAATAATATTTGCTTTTCTTGTTTCATCAACAACTATTTCATGTTCTTGACTTCATTTGATTCAAAACTCTAGGGACGGGAAGATGACGGTACTGTCGGTAATGAAGTATCTGGTTAACAAGCTGAGTCTGGACAGCGAGTCCGAGGTATGACATGCAGCTCATCCGATTCCCTTTTTAATGCAACATTCCATTTGCATGTCTCATTAGCAAAACTAAATGCTGTAAATTAATGAATAATCACGATTATACGACTTGGTTGGTGTTATAGAGACATGACAGAAACCTCGGAACTAAACGCGTCTGTCAAACTGTTCTTGTTAGGTGGGAAGTACTTTTCGTTGTTAGTCTTTTAAGCCATAACCAATTGTACTTAAGATTGTCCAAATCTTTTTTAAAATGATTTAAACTTGTTGTTTTAGTTAGACATGGATGCTCTTAGTCGAAGGATTAGGGCTTGACCGTAGAAGATTAGGGATGATATAGAACCTTACCAACCACCTGCTTTTCTCTCAACTCCAAATAGAGACTCGTTGGGTTCCTTTCCCCCCCTGTAAATGGGGTTTACTGTTCCGCACCAGAAACTTATGTGAAATTAAGATATCAATAATCAACATAAGCAATGTAGTCTGTAAATTAAAGTAGGGAAATTTATGTATTTAGAAAAAAAAAAGGAAAGGAAGAACATATAAAATGATCAAGTGCAAGAAATGAGTAAGGGTGTTTTTAAGCGGAAAAATAATTAAATCGATATCAACATGAAATATATCATACACAAAAGATAAAATTTAATATTGTTCAATCCTCTCTACCTCTACAGGTGAGAAAACTAAAAATCTACTATAAACATAGGGATAACAAAGAGTTTAAATACTTAAAAGACCTATCTCTCAAACAAATATTTTAAAAAGATTACGTCTCTCCTGTAATTCTTTCTTACATTATGCTGACATACTCTGTATTTACTGAACTAAATACTTAATTATCAAAAAAAATCTTATTTCATAAGAATTATTAATCTTCAACCATTTGAATGATATCAAAGTCCAACTTGATTGTCAATTGAAATTTAAGTCAATAGATAACAAGTACCCTAAAATCCACTATCCGATCTGAATGATGTGCATTTTGCACTGACTATAACCATTGCTTAAAGCATAATTCATGGAAACTGGTATAAATGGCCTAAATTCAGAAAGGAAGATACATAAATTCTTATTATATACAATTAAAAACAGTGTGTAATCATTTACATTGTAGTTCTTTTAGGGTTTGGGCGTACGTCTATGTATGCACTCAATGGTGAAGAAAACATGCACGTAAACAGTCATTATCATAATAATTTGGGCACGAGGTACATGCTTCTGATGCACACTTCGTAATCAAATAAATTTTTTTTTCTCAAACAATGATGATGGTAAAGTTTTCTTCCTTACTAATTTAGCATCACGATACATAACCTAAGGATTTATATGCATATGCTATGTATATGAACAATATATATAGCTACTTTAAAAAAATCATACATGCATAAGTTATAGGTAAGAATATTGCAACTTCTTCTATGCAATTTGTGGGATAATAGGAGAAACATGTCGGTCCAAATGAAGAATTATTTAATGTGTTCTCTGAAGAAAATTTCAACGCGTTTCACAGCCAAGGCAGAAACATGCATTAATCTTTCCCTAGCTGTTAGCTAATAGCTTAGTTTGACATAAGCTGCTCTTCTGCTAAATTTACGTGGAAGGAGTGCCCTATTTATAAGTATTATATTTGAAAAATGTTAGTCGCATAGATGACATATTACATGGTTAGTCATTTAACTGTTTGCTATTTTTTTATTAAAGCATATTGATTTAGTCAGTCATACTACAAATACTTTTTTCTCATTTTAAAGAATATAATATTATCCTCATATGAATTAATGACATCCTCAACATTCTGTTTTGTTTTTGTCGTAATAATTTGTTGTTAGTGTCGAGTATATGTATTTAGAGTTAGGTAAACTCTCGTTTTATATTATAATTTTAATTTAAAATTAGTTTTTAATATCCTAATTATATTATTAAATCATTGGTATTTACTAATCGTAATCATTGCTAATAAAATCGTTATAAAAGTTATTAATTTTCATATAAACATAGTGTATTGTGTAATAATATTATATGGAATACAGGTAATTAGTGTTGAGTTTAAATAAAATTATGATTTGATACTAGAATATAAAAAGAATTATCAACAAATTAAGAGAAAAAAATAAAAATCAATAATCTTTTAACTTTGAAGGATATGATTCAATATCAATTATCATTTATGTCACATCATATTGTTATGTAATACACATCAATATTTACATGATAGGTAACAATTTTTTGGCAATTTTTTTTAATAAATTTTAACATCAGTAAATACTAATTAATCGAAATAAAAAGAAAAAAAACATATAGGAAGCATCATTTGACCTTTTAATGACTTCAAAGATTAGGGTTTAGTTTGAAATTTGAAATATAGAAAGCAACGTGAAGAAGACGTGCATGAGATGTCATGTTGTTGCATTGTACGTGGCAGTTGTTGGAGAAACTTAGGTTTTGTAGGAATGAATATATAAATATAAACAAAATTATTTCCCGTTCTTCGCCGGGCTTTCAGGATCCATTACAAATATTTTATTTATAATCTATGCATAGTGAATTTGAATTATTATAACATTAAATTATTTTAATGTATTTAACCCCACTAATTAACATAAAATTCTACGGATTCATGATTTTGGCTTACGAGTAAAGTCTAGGTGGGTCACCTAATGATTCATTTTTGGGCAGTTTTTTGTCCTTGTCCTGGGGAGAATGGAAAGTTAAAAGATATAAACTTTAATTTCAAGGGTAAAGCATAAGTTTAGGTTAAAGTTTAGGATAGCACGGGCAAGACGTCACCCACTCATCATGCATATTTTCATAAAAAAGTTACTAATTATATATCAATATATATATATATATATATATATATATATATATATATATATAATATTCTATTATTATAGTAAGTATGCATATATTTATAAAGAGATTCATTTATCTTGATTATTTGATGTGATTTATATAATTAGTTTAGGAGATATTGGGGCATATACCAATACTTTAACGAATGGATTATAACCCAGGGAATTTCAAAGACTAACCTAAAATTTAAATTTTAGTTTGAGGAGCAGTTCAGTTAACCTGAAAGAGTGGAAGTATATATTAGTATGTGATTATGATGTTAGATCATCTAATATTCATCTTAATAAGAAATTATAACATCAAGGTTATAATTTCACTCCATTACTTTAAAGAAACAAAACACGAGAACAATAATCTGACAAATGATTCGGTCTAATTTAGGTGTCGTCTGTTTAGGCAAGGTCCGAATTGAACTCATCGTTGATAGGGTGAATACACAATCTATTCAATCCTAAGCATAATGAGTATAACTCTATAAGGACTTCAAAATACTCTTTTCATCGAATGAATTTTAAGGCATATGAAGTTTCATTTTTAATAAGGAGGATAGAGATAATAGCGTCTGCTTATAACTTTTATAGTTAATTAACAATGGACGTGCACACATCTTGCAGAGAAATAACTATTTGAATATGAGATATTTAGAAAAAATAATACTCCATTTTATCATTAAAATTGTTTTATGAGTTCAACTCTAGCATGAAAACATGTTTAGAATACGAATATGATGTGGAATTTGGATGGGTGGACAAGCAGGTGGCGATAAGGTGTAGAGAGGAAGAGCTCCAACCTTCCTTGACGTTGCAGCATGTGAGAGATGAAATATGGAGTACTACTTCAAGAGACGGCGTCGCTTTGCTTCCACATACCCCAACGCCACCTCATCACCCCAATCTCATGCTTCTGCTCTATGGTAGGAGAGCTTGAAACTTGAATTCAAACACATTTATTTTTTTGTTTTTTTAATTTAATTTCTTATAATTTAATCTTCACCTCTCTAATGTATCATTCTTAAGTTATGTCCGTTCCTAAATTTCTTATACTAAGCTTGTAATTATATTTTTATTTTAATGGGCAAATAGCATGACTAAAACTGAATTTGCAAGCTCTGCTGGTTCTATATTATATTTTTATTTGAAAAGTCAGACTTTTATTTGTAATTATATTTTTATTATACGTGACAAAAAGTCAAAAATAGCATTTATTTTTGTAAACAATCTTGAGATGATATTAATTTCATAAATAATTTTAAAAGTAAGATGTGTGTCTTTTTTTATCATTAACAACACATATATAATTGTTCTAATATCATATCATTTTTTTTAGTTTTCTTTCGTTGCTATATCGTACATCCCCTTTTTTTCATCTTTGTTGATGAGTAGCATCACTAATTTTAAGTTTAGTTGTCGACTGTCAATATTCTTTATTATCCTTTTATTTTCTTATATCATATTTTTATTTTCTTTTATATTTTTATTTTCAATAAATATGTCTGTATGACACGTTTTCTTATGTCTTTTGACATGTTTTTCGATCGTTTGGTTGTTGTTATTACTTATTTTTTCTTAAGGATTGATTTGACATTGCCTTGATTGATCAAGATGGCACTTCTATGTTATATTGTTGATATTCCCTGTTTTAGACTCCCAGATTGGATTTGGATACCCGTTATGCGTTCGTGGATAACTTTTCACATTGCTCGAGTCTAATTTGTGGCTTGTCGGTGGTCTTTCAGTAGCTTGATTCCCTTTTTTTAGTTCGTTTGTCTATGCGATTAGATCTGTTTGTATCTATCTTTATTCGAGTTTCTTGGGTAGGTTTTAATATTTTCTTGTATGGTCCTTATGTTACCTTAAGTTTCTAGTTTTGTTTTAATGATTATATGAATTTGTCCTAATTATATGCTTAATTTACGATTATGATTGTAAATGACTTAATAATAAAATTACCCCATGTTTGCACAAATGGTCCCTTTGCCCTCTATCTTTTTCTTTTTGGAGCAGTTTGGTCTCCAACATTTCATTTTGGAGCAAAATGTCCCCTGGTTCGATCAAATTTAGTAGTTGACTAATTGTCAATGTTTCATACGAACGTGTCAAATCCATGTGTGATGTCACTTCAGGAAAAAATATTTTTAGAGTAAACTATAATTTTAAACTAATTACATATAAACTTATAAAAAATATATTTAAAAATAGTTTTAAAATATTTTTTGATGGCATGACATCATACGTAGACCTATCACATCAATAGGAAGCGTTAATCGTTAGTCAGTTAATGATTTTCATCCACCCATGGGGCATTTTATTCCAAAATAAAACATTAAGGGTTAAAATGCTTAAAAAAAGGATATGGGACCATGTAAATCTTCATTGTAATTCAAATATTTTCTATTTTAAATAAAATTAGTGGATTCTAAGAAAAATAACAATACACATATTATACAAGCGCATCTATTCAAATATAATTTTTTTAGAGTGAACAATATTTTCTTTTTTCATTTATCTCAATCAATGAATTTAGTATATATGCATAATAAAGTTTTATAATACTCTCTTGTATTCATTTAAGGTTTAGAAATTAGAGTTTTAATTTTTAAAATTTAGTGTCAATGAATTAAAATTTAGAGTCAATGAATTAAAATTCTGAATTGAAATGAAACCAAATTAAAATTTTAGTGACTATTCTCTGTCTTTTTGACACACTCTCTTCTGCTCCTGCAGCACGCTCTCTGTCTTTGTGATACGCTTTTTTCTTTTTTCTTATCTTTGTTCTTGTTCTGGTCATATCCCTTATGGATCAAACAGTACAAGCAAATCTGGCCGAACTGAATCTTGAGGATGAAGTGATACTGTTAATCTACCACAGCAGGATTAAGGTATTTCTTTTACAAACTGTTTCGAGGGCACTTTCTTAACAACGAGTATTATTTATTTCCAGGCCATGAGCACTATCTGGCTAGTGTTTGGCGTCCTCTTGGTGGCATTTCTATCACTGATATAGAAGAAGAAAGATTCCTTTTTTCGACTATATCATGAGGTCGATGTGGAATGAATTGAAGCGTGAGGACCTTGAAATTTTAATAACTATATGCTGATATTACATTGCCTTCATGAGGGTGAGAATCCTTTTAGAGTAGAGTTGAATCACATTGATTTATGGATGCTGGTGCATGATGTCCCCCTGGGTTTGTCTCTACTTAGTTGCACAATCGCTGGGTAACTTTGTGGGAGCTTTCTTGGATTATGATTCTGATGACGTTACTATGAATTACAAGAGGATGCGTATTGGAGTTCGTATTGACATCAAGAAACCTTTGAAACGTCGGAAAAAAACTTGCAACTCCGGGTGGCACCTCCTATTATGTCCAGTTTGAATACGAAAAAATACAGATTTTCTGCTTCATCTGTGGTAAACTCGGGCATGGCGAGAGTTTTTGTCCGGTGAGGCTGACTATGGACAAGTCTAAAATTGTGATCGCATGGGATATCAGTCTCTGGGCCCCTACTCGACGGACGACAATGCAGAAGTGTCGGTGGCTGCGTGAGGAATGGAACAAAAATTATGGGGATTCATCAGGATTTGGGGCAATCTCAAGAGAATTCTGCTTCAATTTTTAAAAATTTTCCTTCTTTGTCAAAGGTTCCCTCTAAAAACCAAGGGACTGATTATTCTAATCCCTTTGATCCCGCACATGCAGGAAATTCTATACAATAAAAAAAGAAGGTCAATTGTCATGTTTTGGATCCTTATCTACTGACCCAAATGCATGAGGATATTTCTACGGGCCTGGACATTGAGATGACCCAATCTGGAGAGGAGAGCCCTGTTATCCAAGTGAATGGAACTAAGCGACCAAGGGTCCAAAATCTATCATTGGGTGTTTCTGGTTTTGTTTCAAACGATGTTTCTAATTCTTCATCGGTCGACCTAGATAATCAGGCCTGCCGTTCCCAATAAAAATCTTAAGCTGGAATGTCCGAGGCCTTGGGAAGTCTCGGACAACTAAACGTCTCCAGCATATGCTGCGGACATCAGCCCCTATGTAATCTTCCTGATTAAAATGAAATTACAGGGTAATAGAATGTATAAGGTTAGCAAAATGTGTGGTTTCACAAATAGAATAGATATTGTTTCTAATGGTCGTAGTGGTGGATTTCTTGTTAGAAATTAAACGAGCAATTTCCCTATAACCAGATTAGTGAGAATGTGAAATAAAAGCGGAAAAATAATACCCGAAATTGATAACGGAGTTCAACCAATTATGCCTACGTCTATGGACTGCTGCAGATCTTTTACTGAAGAGAGAAAATTTACAGGTGTTTACAAAACACTCACAACTGCTTAAGGATTAATCTTATAAATATCCTAAAGTATAGGGACTAAATTATAATTATCCCTTGCCAAAAAATCAATATTGCCTAATTAGCCGCTCATTTTCCTGCCCAAGTTGCCAAAGAATTTTGCAGCCACTAAAATTGACTTTCAACAATCTCCCACTTGAAGACTTTTTTTAATCTGCCTTCACACATCGATCAATGCATCAGCATTTCTGGTATTGTTACTCTACATACCAACTGAAGTTGAACACAACTTCAGTTTGTCTGTAGTCACCGTCTTTGTTAACATGTCTATCGGATTTTGAGCTCACTAATCTTTTCAAGTTTCAAAATCCCATCTTCCAGAAGAGATCGGATAAAATGATATCACAATTGTATGCGCTTCATCCTAGAATGAAAAGACAAATTTTTCGCTAGATGGATATCACTTTGATTATCGCAATACAAGACATTATTTTCTTGTTTCTTGTTTCTTCGCTTCAGTTGTGGAGAGAGCAACTATCTTCTGTAGTTGAGAAACCCAACTCACTGCAATACCTCTTAGAGTATAGACATACCATGTAGTGCTCCTTCTGATGTCAATATTTCTGGCTAAATCAGTATCTACATAGCCTATCAGTATCATATCCACCTTTGAAACAAAGTGCTTTGTTTGTGGTACCCCGCAGATATCTGAGGATCCATTTGACTACTTCCCAGTGTACCTTGCTCGGATTATTCATGTACTGCTAACAACTCCCACTGCTTGAGTAATATCTGGTCTAGTACAAACCATGGCATACATTAGGCTTCCAATTGCTGAGGCATACAAACCACCATATATGCACGTTCTTCCTCCGTATTTGGTGACTGTTCTTTAGATAGTCTAAAATGAACACCTAAATGTGTACTTACTGGTTTATCATCTTGCATGTTGAACCTAGAGAGTTCTTTGTTGATGTACTCAGTCTGTGATAACATCAAAGTTCCCGAGTTTGTGTCTCTCTTGATCTTCATCCCAAGAATATGCTTTGTAGCGCCCAGATCTTTCATTGTAAACTGCTTCGACAATTTTTGCTTCAAGTTTATAATCTCTTGCATGTCTGAGCTTGCAACGAGCATGTCATCAACGTGCAACAATAAAATAATAAAGTTGTTGTCGAACTTCTTGATGTAGCAACAATGATCTGCTTGGCATCTGGTAAAACCACTGTTACCCATGAAATTATCGAACTTCTTGTACCACTGTCTAGGAGTTTTTTTAAAACCATACAAGCTCTTCTTCAACCAGCATACCGGTTTTTATTGTCTGTCTCTATGAAGCCTTCTGGCTGCCTCATATAGATTTTCCTCCAAATCACCATGAAGGAAAGCTGTCTTCACATCTAACTGCTCAAGATGTAGATTCTTTGCAGCTATAATTTTCAACACCAGTCTGATTGTATATAATTTCACGACTGGAGAGAAAATTTAATTGTAGTCAATACCTTCTTTTTGCTGAAAACCTTTGACAACCAATCTTTCTTTGTAGCGTTTTCTCCCATTGTGGTCTTCTTTGATCCTGTAAACCCACTTGTTATGGAGCATTTTCTTGCCTGGTGGTAATTA